TTGCACTTATATTGTTTATTATTATACCTTAAAGGGTTGATATCATTACTAGAAAAGCTTTGGGAAAAGCCATGAAAAAAAGTGAAAGCTGTGTCTGTGATATGCACATTAAGCTAAATGAAATAAAACATTGCTCCTTGAAATTAGAATGACCAGACATGTACATGATAAGGACTTACCAGAATGTTGGGAAAGAGTATTTGCAAAAATATTTACAAATATAAGCTGGCATGGTAACCCACGTAATCCTGTAATCCCAGCATTCAGGAGGCTGGGCAGGGAGGGCTTCAAATCCAAGCCCAGCCTGGGCAACTTAGTGACTTAGTGAGACCCTGTTTCCAATTTTTCTTTTTATAAATAGATAACCTAAAACCTTGAGCTAGTTATCACCCTGGGAGATGCGTATGTAGTGTGGTGGAGGGATCGGAATCAAGTTACTCTTGACCTGTTTCTCCTCTGCGATGATGACTCTCTGCCTTGCCACACTGCCTTGGAGGTGACAATGGACCAAAACCTCTACAAACTGAGCTGAAATAAACCTCTCCTCCTTTAATTTTGTGTGTCAGGTATTTTGTCTCAGCCACAAGAAAAGTAATCAGAATCAGGTCATTCTGAGTTTAAATCCTGTGATGTTGGAAGTGATTCATGCTTTAAGGTACCTGTGTTTTCCTCTCTACAAACACATCACTGAAATTACTTGTAGCATTTACACTATGGTAGTTACATGAGACAATGCCTAGGAAATACATTGAGATACATTAGGCAGTGCCCAAAACATAAAGTTATCTCTCATTATTATTTTATTAGGTGTTACCACAGCTCTTTTGCTTTTTCTCTTTGTACCTCAGTTTCAACACTAGGTGGCAGCAACACCCTCTTAAGCAATTAAAGTGATCCATAACTCAGGTATCCAGGAAAAAGAGAAGTCTTATAAAGATGTGTGTAGGACATGAGCAAAGCAACGAGAGCTCCACAGGGGAGATGGAGTCAGAGGTGGAAGTGAGGATGGGCAGAGAAGGAGAGAGGCAGAGAGAGGAGAAAATTTTGGAAGGAATTTAATTTTTTTTGAGGTACTGGGAATTGAACCGCTGGGAGTTACTCTATTACTGAGCTACATCTTCAGCCCAGTTAATTTTATTTATTGAAATACTGGGGACTGAACCCAGTAACTTCACACTGAGCTACATCTCGAACTCTTTTTACTTATTTAATTATATATTTATTTTTGTTTTGTTATTTTGAGACAGAGTCTTGCTCTGTAATTCAGGTTGGTTTTGAACTCACTATGTAGCCCAGGCTGGCCTGGAACTCATGTGATCCTTCTGCCTCAGGCTTCTGAGTGCTGGAATTACAGGTGTGTGCTACCTACCACGCTAGCTAAGAATTAGATTTTTTGAAAGAAAATACTGAACTAGTCATTATGGGGAGAAACTAGATCTTTGTGGGACACTCTTTCACCTTGTAGTTAGTGTCACTTCCCCTTGGGCATACTTGTGGGGGGTGATGGGCACCATATCTACTTGTGCAGACCAGGTTTAGGGGTCTTGAGTGGTCCTGGGGAGAGTTAGCACCACTGGCTGCATAGCAAGTACCTATAAAAGCGTGTTTTACTGTTTATTTTTGCCTTAGTATTAATCTCAATTATGGAAGCAGGGCCATTTTATTCTATATCATTCCTCTATCCATAAGACATTTAGTGGTAAGTGCTGTGTGACTGTTACCCCCAAAGCTGGAGGTGTCAGGCAGTGAGCACCTTCTATCTTCTGCTTTCTGGGTGGTTCGGGTCCAGGGGGCTCCTGAAGCTTCCTGCAGACATCACTGGGGCCGCAGTTATCCTTAGGTCTCACGAACCTTGGGTCTGTTTGCAGGATGCTCACTCACATGGTGGGTGGCTGTGAGCGCTTGTGTCCAGGCGTCCCCCCCAAAGCCTCATGCACTCAGAGGTGGGGCTTTGTAGAGGTGGTTGGATCTAGGGTGCGTGATATCGGGATGGAGGTTGTGTGGTACTGTTTTAGTCCACTGATTGGTTTGTTGCAGTTCTAGGTGTGGTTATTGGGAAGTCCCCCCCCCCCCCGGGTGCAAGTGGCATCACAAAAAAGGCTTGTAGCCTGGATGGGATAAAAGGGAAAGGGAGGGGGCTAGGGATTTAGCTCAGGGTGCTGCTTCTGCTTTGCAAGTGAAAGGTCCTGAGTTCAATTTCCGGTATGGAAAAAACAAAAGGGAAAGGGAGGCTTGCTGCTGCTTGCTGCTTTCTTCCTGCCATGTCATGACTTGTTTCTCCTCTGCGATGATGCCTCTCTGCCTTGCCACACTGCCTTGGAGGTGACAATGGACCAAAACCTCTACAAACTGAGGTGAAATAAACCTTTCCTCCTTTAATTTTGTGTGTCAGGTATTTTGTCTTAGCAACAAGAAAAGTAGCCAAGACAGTGGCAAAAGACTTTCATCCCTGTGCTCAGGATTTTCTCCACACAACAGCTCAAAGGTCCTGCAAGGTGCCTGCTGGTCCCTCTCTGGAGAGTGATCCAAGAGAGACTGCAGAAAGGAGGCCAAGATACCTTTAATGACCTCATCTCAGAAGCTAGACTCAGCAACTTGCACCATATTTGCCCAAAATGAGTCACAGGGAAAATAACTGAAGCCAGTCATGGGATCTGCCACACACACAGGAAGCCAGGTCCTGTGCAGAGAAATCGTAAGCTGCCCTGTTGCCTTCCGTGTGGCCTGGACCATCGCCTCACCTGTGTGGGGCTCGGTTTCCTCATCAAGAAAGAAGGCTGGGCACAGCTCCAAGAGGCCTTCCACCTTCGGCCCATCTGGTGTTCTCAGCAGCTCCTCTCTGCTCTCATCTGTAAAATGAAATGATCTAAGGCAGTGGCGTTCAACTGTTCACCATTTTTATGTTTTTCCTTGCAGTTCCAGGGGATCGAACCCAGGGTCTTGTGCATGCTAGGCAAGTGTCCTACCCTCAGCTATACCTAGCCCCTTTCTGCTTTTGAAACCCAAATAGGAGCTGTATTTACACAAAAACCAAACACACACATAGGCATGGTGTCTTAGTCACTTTTCTTGTCCCTGGGACAAAATAGCTGACACTCACAATTTAAAGGCGGAAAGGTTTATTTTGGTTGACACTTTGTGGAGATTTCAGTCCATAGTCGGCTGGTGGCATGGCAGAGGGCCATGGCAGAGGGGAGGCTGCTTATAGCCTGGTGGCAAGAAGAAGAAAATCACGAGAGCAGAGAGGGGAGAGACCACTCCAGGCCACGCCCCCTTGACCTCCTCCTCCCAACCTCACATTTAGCTATAAACTCGTCAGAGGACTGATTTACTGCTGAGTATCACATCCCATGATCCTGTCACACCCCCACAAAGCCCCACATGTGACCCAGTGAGGCTTTAGGGGGACATCTGGATAGAAACCATAAGGCCTGGGTACATGTGTTTGTGAGACAGAAGTGAAACTTCTGCCACGCAATACTTTCTTCCATGTACCTGTGGGTGTACTCTTGCTTTACTCCTCATCCTAGGCTAATTCATTTAGCAGGACCCAGGTCAGAGTCTATTACAGCAGCTTCTCCCATCTTTATGCTAAACACAAACTCTGCGTTCACCATCGGAGCTGGAGCAGAAGTGTGCGGAACCACCTGTCCTCCCTGCTGGCCACTGGCAGGACAAAAGGCACCTTCCGGTGTGGGCAGCCCTGGGGTCCTGCTCCACCAGACCTGAGAGGGACCAGCCATGGCTCCTGCATTGGCCCTCACAGGCCCGCCTGGGCCTCACTACCAGATTGCCCGGTCCTCGGCCTTTTAGCTCCGCCCTTCTCCAACTGCAAAGATAAGCAGCATCCCAGGGTGTCTCAGAGCTGTCACAATGATCGCGCAGCAGGGACATCATCTTGGATTCTCACCACCCTGAAATGCAGACTGTGACCCTGGTGTATAGAAGCCGAGGCTCAGGCGTGATGACGCCAGATCGTGGTCACGAGTGGCAGACTGGACCTCCAAGCCAGTCCCCCAACTCCAGGGCTCCCGGCCAGGCGACAGTAGTCAGACGTGGCTCCCCCTGAGTCATCAGCTGGCTGTTACCCGAGGGCCTGGGTTCAGCGTGGGAAACTCCTCACTCACTGGAGAGAAACGCAAGGGTCCAGGGTCACCATGCACAGCCGTGTGCCCAAGTCACGTCCTCGGTCTCTTGGCGACACCGCGGGAGCGCGGAGCTGTGGCAGCACAAAACCCTTTGTGGGGCCGGGTGACGCAAACGCCCTCCCGGGGACGCAGGCAGGGGCGGGCGGGGCGCGCGGCACGGCGGTGCGCGGCCTCGGGCTCCTGGAGCGCGCTCCGCCCTGGCCTGCTGCTGGGACCCGCCACACCCGCCCGGACGGGTAGGTACCTGAGGAGGGAGCAGCGGGTTTGGGGTCCGGAGGGACCGCGGGCCAGGGCGGAACAGACTCGCCCAACTCCGGATCCAGGGGTGGGGCCAAGGTGGGGACACTTCGGCGTTTGATTGTGCGTGGCCCAGGAAGGCCTCGAACCCGTGGCGATCCTCCCGCCTCAGCCTTCCGAGTGCTGGGATCACAGGCGTGCGCCACCATGCCTGACTTGGCACTTTCAGACCAGGTTTTGGATGAGGGAAGCAGGTCGGGGTTGCTCGGGGTAGAGTTCTGTGCCGGCGGGAAGTTGCTGTACCCGCAGAGTCCCAGTGGCTTGGCCCTGCACAGCGAGCACATCTGGCGACCGGGGGCCACAACGCCGTGACAGCGACCACGCTGCGCCCCTAACCTGTCCAGCAGGAGCAGTCCTGCCTGCCTTGCTCTTTACGTGGTGGAAGAACTGGCAGCCACTTCGTGCGAAAGACAAGGATGGTGGCACTCAGGCTCAGCCGCTGCTGTTCAGAAACGCTTTCTCTGGATCCGTATCACTTGGCTGGAAAAGGATTTAGGGAAGGCCGTTCACTGGTGTGTCCCTGTCCCTGCAGGGAGGAGGCCGGAGCGCCGTGGCCGCCCCTGTGTGAAGACATTGGCTGGGACCGCTCGGCATGGCCTACGGGCTGCCCAGGAAGAACACGGTGCGGAGCATCCTACGGGGCAGCTGCTACAGCGCGTAAGTGCGGGCCTCAGGCGTCGGCGCCGGTCTCCTTGCCAAAAGGCATCGCTTGGACAGGAGCGTAGGGATCATCTTATTGGGCTCTGCACCACAGTCACGCTTTCAAATGAGCAAGCACTGTCGTGTGCGAAGCAAGGGGCAGGCTCGAGGTCTGAATCTTTTCCCAAAACAAGTTTCTGCTCCTGCCCGTCATCTTCCAATCCTCTCTAGCCAGCCCAGCTGAACTTCAAAGGCCCTGGCCCAGGCGCTTCTCCGTCCAGGTCTCAGTTGGCAGGCTGTGTGTGCTCGGATGGGCATTGTGTTAGGAAGCCGGGCTCTAGGCCCGGCTGCGGCCCTCCGCCCTTCTCTGGGCCTCGCTATGGCCCCACAGCGCCGCCTCTGGCGTGGGCCGATGACGGTGGCAGAGCGCGTGGTGAACAGCGGCTGCCACAGGCGTCTCTCTCTGTGACCCCATATGACTTTGAACACTTTTTCTGGATTTGTTTTGCGGGCTCCCCCTCCACAGCTTCCGTCATTTTCACCGTCATGGTGGAGTAACTAGTTCTTGATCACGATATTCTTAGACATGGGGATTCCTACAGGACTCTAAACCACAGCTCCAGGAGAGTCAGAGAACGCGCAGCCCACAGCTTGCTCAGTTTTGTCACTCCGGTGTGTGTGTAGGCGGGCTCCGCTGTGGTAAATAGCCTCCTAAATGCAATTTGGATACGAAGACGTTCCTGTTTCCGGAGAATGATGTGAGTGCGACTCTGGGGTCTGGTTCTGCACAGCCTTGTGAACCCGGGGTGCTCTCTGCCACTCTCCCCACACAGGGCTTGGTATTAGACTTCTCATGAAGTTACAAGAACAGAATGGGAGTCCGAGGTTTAGCTCAGTGGTGCTGCCGCCTGCCTTGCAAGCTCAAAGTCCTGAGTTCGATCCCTGGTACCAAAACAACAGCAACAACAATTGTAGCAGCGCTCTTCAGAGTTCATTTGCTAAGGTAACTCCTTACCTTGGCCTTTTGTTTTTGTTTTTATTTTTTTGAGACAAGGTCTTGCTGTGTAGTTCAGGCTGGCCTTGAACTCACAAGTAGCTCAGGCTGGCCTCAAACTCATGGCAATCCTCCTGCCTCAGCCTCCCAAGTACTAGAATTACAGGTGTGCGCTGACATGCCTGTCTCCTTGGCCTTTTTATTTTTATTTATTTTCTTCGTTGTTTAAAAAAATTATATACATAATACTCTAAACAATTAAATAGTGCAGAAGCATATAAAAGAAAAATAAAAGTTATCTCTCATTCTCCCATTCCCACCCTTAGGACCCACTCAGAAATAAAATGTCTTGTATTTTTTCTAGGATTTCTGCTGCTATAGAAGACACGCAAGTATATAAACACACACACATATTTTGGCTTTTTGAGACAGAATGTTGCTATAGGTGAGGCTGGCTCTGAATTCAATACATAGCCTAGGCTGGCCTCAGACTCACAGCGATCCTTCTCCCTCAGCCACCACACCTGGCTGTCACATATTTTTTTTTTTGGTACCTGGGATCGAACTTGGGACCTTGCGTTTGCCAGGCAGGCGCTGGAACCACTGAGCTAAATCCCCAGTTGTCACATATGTTTTTAACATACAGAATCATATAAAACTCTGCCTCCTTGGCCCCTTACCGTCCAGTGTGTCTTGTACAGCTTGGTGGTCCAGACCTCGGATTCATACCCAACAGCCTGTGACCTGGGACAAGTGGTTCTCCACTCTTGAGTTTCCTAATCCGTAGAGGGAGGGTGGTAATAGCAAGTGTTTGCTCCATGGGGCTGTTGTAGCAGTATCTGTTTATATGGATAAACTGCTTAAAACAGGGTGTGGAACACAGTAAGTGCTATCTAAACGTGAGCTTTATATTGTTCATCTTTCTAGGTCAGCATAAAGGTCTAGGCCTTTTTCTTTTGATACGCAGGACATTTTTTGGGGGGGGTACTGGGGATCGAACTCAGGACCTTGCACTTGTGAGGCAGGTGCTGGAACCACTGAGCTAAATCCCCGGCCCTTTGTTCTTTTGATACATGTGCATGCCCACTGCTGCTTAATCAGGCTGTTGAGAGGCTTTAAGACAATTTCCATGTTTTTTTTTTTAACACTGCTTTAATGAACATTCTCAAAAATACTTCTTTGTGACTTGTTCATGCACATCTGTAATAACTGTGGACTTTAAGTCATCCCCTAAGGTGATCAGGTATGGGGGAAGCCGGAGGAGGCAAACAAAGGGCCATGTGGAGACTGTTACTTCCTCTCCAAGGACAGCCCGAGTCTGCTGTCCCTGCATGTTGAGGCTGTGCTCACGTGATTGAAGCTAAATAAAATGAGTGCTTCCGGTTCATAGTGATTATTTTTAATGCTGCAGTTGGAGCGTCATCCCTTCCCCTCCCTAATCCCAGATCGCTCCCCTAAAACCTCAGTGTGTGCCATGTACCCTGCTCAGTGCAAGTGACATCCTTGACTTTCCTGATGGGACAGTGTTTTGGCAGCCATGAAGGATGTCGGAGCTTGCTGTTTTCATCTGCATCCTCTCATGTGGCAGAGGGATGGCTGTGCTGTGAGCTGATCACAAGTCCCTGGTGTTAGAATTTCTGGTCCCTGCCTTGGCTGCTTTTCCTGCCTGAGTTGCCGCCCTGGGAAACCCTGAGCCTTGCCCTTGTGACCCAGTGTGGATGAGCAAGCTGCCTTCTGTATCTCTCACAGTGTGTGCACAGTAAATATTTACTGAATGAATTCATGCAGTTTTTGCCCCAGACAGGAACCTTGGGATCTTGCTCTGCTTACAAAGACCTGGTACTCGAACCTAGTTAGCTCCAGATTGCCCTTTTTGGGAGAAATTGCATATGGGAGTCCCTTGGAGCTGGCCAAATGTGAAACCAAGGAGGAGCTGCTGCCTTCAGAGGAATGTAAGTGCCTCAGGGTCCCTGGTATCTGTTGTCCATGTTGTCCTGTGTGTATTATCAGAAAGACATTGAGATGTGTTATTCAGCCCAATAGCTCCACCAGCCTCCTGTTTCAGTAGCCCTAGTTATCTTGGTTGTTTTACAATGTCAATTTTGCTGGTGTACTTCAGGATTTTTTTTTTTTTTTTGGAGACAGGATCTTGCTATGTAGTTCAGGCTGGGCCTTGAACTCACTGTGTAGTCCAGGCTGGCCTTGAACTCAAAGTGATCCTTCTGCCTCCACCTCCCAAGTTCTGGGACTACACCACACCTAACTCTGTGTGATTCAATTTTGAATACACTAAGCCTAGTGAAAAGGCCAGTCAGATTGGTTCATGGATTTTATTTTTTAGCCATCAAACTCGAAAGGAAGTATGAAACGAAGTGCCTGACTAAACTGAAATTTCAAGAAAATGCATCTGAGGAAATTCAAATGTCCCTAAGAGCAAGAGAAGTTGGTCTGAGAAGACCTCTGCAACCTAAGTGACAGGTGTGCCACGTTGGAGTCTTTGCTCCAGTTCCTGTGTTGGGTGGGATGAAGGTGCCTGCATCTCTGCACTGCATGGTCCTATGTGGACATGAGGAGGCCACCAGCTGACGTGGGTCATCCTGGACAGCTCTGAGGTCTCCTGATCCCCACCACAGATGGTCCATTGCATCATACATGACAGCACTGTGAGTAGATGAAAATCCTTCTGGAGTTCTGTCAGTTCTGCTGTTTGTTTTGATGTTTGTAAAAGAGTGCTAAGGGAAGAGGAAACTTCTTGCCAGAGTCAGTATTTTTGTGTGTGTGTGTGGGGGGGGCACAGGGTCTTGCCATGTAGTTCAGGCTGGTCTTGAACTCATTATGTGGCATAGGATGACCTTGCACTCATGGTGGTTCTTCTGCCTCAGACTCCCAAGTGCTGGAATTACAGACGTGCACTACCATGCCTGGTCAGAGGCAGTATTCTGAAGAAACATTTTGAATTTTCATCTTTGAGATCCCAAGGAGGGATAAAAAAGGTCAGAGAAATTTTCTTAGAAAGGATAAACTATAAAAAAAATTTATTTGGTTAAGAAAAATGATAGATTGGGGCCAGGGATTTAGCTCAGTGGTTCCACTGCCTCCCTTGCAAGTGCAAGGTCCCAAGTTCAATCCCTGGTACCAAAAAAATGAAAGAAAGAAAGAAAGAAAGAAAGAAAGAAAGAAAGAAAGAAAGAGAGAGAGAAAGAAAAATGATAGATTGGATTTTTGTAACTCTCCAGTTATCAACTTTCAGTAAAACATCATTTGTTATTTTTATATGGTACTTTTAAAGCAGAAACTAGCACTTAATTTTGGTTTTGTCCAGCAAAAAGAAAAATATTTTACTTTTTACTTTTCTTGTTGTTGGGACAAAATACCCAACACCCAAAGTTAAAAGAGGAAAGGTTTATTTTGGCTCACAGTTTGTAGACATTTCAGTCCATAGTTAGCTGAGTCCAAGGCAGAGTGGCATGGCAGAGGAGAAACAGTTCATGGCAGGGAGAAGGCAGCAAAGCATCGAAGTAGCAAGCAGCAAGTGACAAGTAGCAACAACAGACAACCCCTTTATGCCTCTTATATTCCACTGGGGCTACCTGCCCTTAGGATAGCATTCACACTCAGGTTGGAGCACCCTTAATCCTACCCAGAACTGTGGCAAGCCAATCAGTGGACTAATTTAGTAATCACACACCCTTGAACCCATCACCACATCCTCAATCCCAGGACCTCTGAAAAGCCCCACCTATGACTACATGAGTGTTGGTGGGACATCTAGACACAAGCCACAGCCGTCTCTTTCTTTCTGCCTAATTTCACATTTTCTCTCTGGAATGACCCTGAAACCTGTACACACACATATATACCCAAAAGTGACAGGAAATTAGGAAATTATGAGGAAAACTCAGATTTACACAGAGCAGTTGGGGATGGGGAATTAACTGAAAGACTGAATTTGGACAAACCAATTTGAATCCAGTAAGGCATATTTGGATATTGTATTATATTTAAGCACAATTTAGTGGATTTTTAGGTGATTCAGTAGGCATTTTAGGGTTTCCTCATATCTTCCACATTTTGAAAAGCACTGACTTGGGCTGGCCTGCAGCTTTGGGCTGGAGTCCTGGCCTAGTGTGCATGAAATCAGGGCTGCCTGTCTCTCTACCATCATAGCCCTGCTGCTGACTGCAATATGATTCGGGATAAGTGACTGTCTCTGAGCTTTTGTTTTTTTTTTTGGTACTGGGGATCGAACTCGGGTCCAACCACTGAGCTAAATCCCTGGCCCTGAGCTTGTTTTCTTATGTAGAAATGGAGGTAATAATGGTCCCTAATTCACAGGACTGTCATGAGGATTACTGAAAACTGTCTGGCACACGAGAATTACTTTGGGGTTAGCTGTGACTATAAGTATCACTACCCTAAACCACAGTAATCTAGATTCAAAAGATATGTAACATTGGGATGACACTGTTGACATTTGTGGAGACCAGAAATCTTGAATTTTGAAAATTTTGGTTTTGTTCTGGTTGATGAGTATGAACTCAAACTATATGGCGTGATATTTTAGTTTAATACATGACTTGTACTGAAGGACATTCTCTACCATATCTATTTACAAACAGCAATCCCTAATTATCAACTTGTCACAATCATCTTTCACTTAAAAGTGTCATGACTGGGGATTTAGCTCAGTGGTTTTGCCGCCTGCTGCAAAAGCGCAAGGACCCAAGTTCCATCCCAGTACCAAAAATAAATAAATAAATAAATAAATAAATGAATGAATGAATGTGTCATGGACAGTTTGTGCACAAAGATGCCACATCCTGATTGTCTGCTGTCTCACCCAGGAACCGAGATCTTCCTTTGTGACCTGCTGTCAGGAGCCACTGGGGACCTGACGCACTTCTCATCCTATCTCCGACCTGTGTGTAAGTTGTATGCTTCCTCCTTCTTCAGAGCTGATGAGAGGATGAATGAAACCAGTATCTGTTTGCAAAAAGCCTTCCAGAATAGTTGGAAATTGAGAAAGCTTTGTTCCTCGTCATTTTCTTGAGAGAAAAGCACCTGCTTGCAGCATTCTATCATGTTTTTAACACCTTCAAATTGCCTATATTTAAATAAAATTACATGGAAAATAAATTTGAGAAAAAATATGTTTAAGTATCTCTCTCTTTCTCTCTTGAAATGATGTAAAAGCAGGAATGCTGTCTCATTTATGGCAGGGTGCTAGTACCTAGCCTGGTGTCTAACTCACACAGTATGCCCTGCACATTTATAAATGGAAACTTCCCATATGGCCAGGGGGCCATATTAGAGAGCCCATGACAGCTATGGCCTTCCTTTTTTTTTTTTTTTTGTACCGGGGATCAAACTAGTGTCCTTAGCTTGCGAGGCAGGCGGTGGAACCACTGAGCTAAATCCCTGGCCCTGGCCTTCCTTTTAGTGATAGGACTCTGTTTACTGGGAGATAGCCTGATACGACTAGCAATTCAAGACAAGGATCAGAATTAACAAATACACATTTTTTACAAGAACATTTTAAAGTTATTAAAATCTAATTAAAATTGATAGTAAAGTAACTCCAATGGCACACAAAAACTCCTTCACATTTTTTTTTTGGTACTGGGGATCAAACTCAGGACCTTGTGCTTATGAGACAGGCACAGTGCCACTGAACTATATCTCCGGCCCTCCTTCACATTTTTGGCCCTCCCTTGCCATTGATATCACAAATTACTTCTTTTTGTATTGTGTATCTATTAATATAAATTTATAGTTACTTTTTATACTTTCTTTAAAAGGTTTCTGTACCAGCCAAGTGTGGTGGTGCATGCCAGTAATCCCAGGACTTGGGAGGCTGAAGCAGGAGGATTGCCAAGAGTTTGAGGGCAGCCTGGACTACATAGTGAGTTCAAGGCAAGCCTACACTGCAAAGCAAGATCCTGTCTCAAAAAAAATGTACCTGTACCAAACTTAAAAGTAATTTACCAGGCTGGATGCCTTGGTCCTAGCTACTCAGATTCAGCTACTCAGATGTGTAGTTCGAGCTACTCAGGAGGCTGAGGCAGAAAAACTGGTTGAGCCCAAGAGTTTAAGACCAGCCTGGAGAACACAGAGAGACTATATATAGGGAAGGAAAGAAGAAAGAAAGGAAAAAAAGAATCCATGCATTAACATCACAAAACTATGAATTCTATATCTTGTCTATATATTTATACCTACTAGAGAGCTTAACATCTTTGTATGGTTTTGTGTTGCTGTCTAGTGTTCTCTTGTTTCAACCTGAAGGACTCTCTTTAGTATTTCTTGTAGAGATCAAGTGGTGATAAACTTACTCAGCTTTGGTTTATCTAGGAAAGTTTTTAATTTCTCCTAAATTATTGAGGGACAGTTTTGCCAGACATAGTATTTGTGGTTGGTAGTTTTTTCCTTCACTATTTTGAATATATTACCCTACTCCCTTCTGGGCTATAGGTTTTCTGCTGAGAAACTTGCTGGTAACTTAATAAGAGCTCCCTTGTACATGACAAGTCACTATCTCACAAGTTGCACTTTGTGGTTTTGATTATAATGTGTTCGACGTGGGTCACCATTGAGCTTCTTGAAATGTCTACTGTCTTCTTCAAATTTGAGATGTTTTGGCCATCATTTCTTCACTATTCTCACTATCTTTTCTCTTTTTCTTTTGGGCATCCTCTAAAGGCATCCCATAAATCCCATATGCTTGCTTCACTTTTCTTCATTCTTTTTTCTTTTTGATCCTTGACTTGTTAATTTCACATAATCTGTTTCAAGTTCCCTGACTCATTTTTTCTGCATGAACAAGTCTACTATTGAACCCTTCTGATGAACATTTCTATTCAGTTAGTAGATTATGATTTTTTTGTTACTTTGTTTTAGATACTTAGCTTTTAGTTTTTTTGTTGTTCTTTGTTGTTTGTTTAGTTTCATTTTGCTCGTGCGTCATTTTATTGCTTTTGTCTAGTTGTCTATGTTCCCTATTAGTTCACTGAATATATTTGTGATAATTATTTTGAATTCTTTGTTAGGTAATTCATAGATTTTCCTTTCTTTAGGGTGGATTCTGGAGATCAATTTTGTTCCTTTGTTTGGGTCATGTTTCCCTCTTTGTCTCTCTTCCTTCCCTTTTCTTTTATTTCTCTTCCTTTCCTTTTTATTATCTTCCTTTTCTTTTCCCTCCCCCTTTTCCTTTCTTATTCCTTCTTTCCCTCCTTCCTTTCTTCCTTCCTCCCTGCTTGACTGCCTGTCTTCCTTCTTTCTTTCTCTATACAGGGCATTGAACTCAGGGCCTTGTGCATGCTAAGCATGTACTCAATTACTGAGCTACAGTCCTCACCCCTTTTAAAATTAATTTTATTTTTAATTTTTGAGATAGGGTCTCACTATGTTGTTCAGGGTATCCTTGAACTCACTATGTAGCCTCGCGGTGGTCTTGAACTCGTAGTGATCCTCCTGCCTCATCCTCCTGAGTGCTAGAATTATCAGTGTGTGCCACCATGCCTGGTTACCTC